GGTATATACGGGGACCCAATTTTAGAAATACTTACCTGCCCAACTTGGAAACCCTAGAAACAGACGCATTGAACCCTTCTTGGACAGATGCAAAAAAAAAGGCTAAATGAAATTCACTCTTTGTCTAATGGGTCTTTTTCTATCAGAATTATATAGCATGTAGGGTTACACCCCAATACTGGAGAATCAAATGTAAAACGAATCCCTAGGTTGACACATATATCCAGTTGTATGCGACACAAACTGCACAAGCACTGGAGGGTGTGCTGGAGCAAGCTCAGATCAAGTGACCCCTGAGGGGAATGGGGGGGGGAACTACTCATGGATGTTTCCAGAAATCAAGGATAATCCCTTTTGCCATGCCTTTAACTAGGAATATATTAGCTGCGGGTTTATACTGGGGGCTCCCGATGATTTCTGGAAACTACTGCAGGATGCAGTAGATGCCGTCCTCTTTTGGCTTCAACAGACTGAAACTTGACTCCTGATATGGGTGTTTCACCAGCAACCCTCCTGTAATCCCTATATCCCTAGGGTCCTCCTAGACCGACCCCCACTTAGCAAACCAACATTGCAGCCGGGCTGCATCCGTCGCAGAATCCAACCAGCTGAGGCTCCCGGCATGTAGCATCCTTGGCTTCACGCGCAGAGGAGGAAGTATCAGAATAGATGGGAATAGTTATTACAAATGTGCACAGACACGCATACGTAAATCTACAAGTAGTTTATCCAAAAGATAGATATGTAGATGGATAGATAGACAGATAGGTAGGTAGGTAGATAGAAAAGGACTTAGATACAGGGTGTTTAAGGTCTAGTGGCAAGATTGATTATGACTTTGTCTAACCGCTCTTTTCCGTCTCGCAATACCTGATACCTTGCAAGCACAGTTTGAATTTGAAATGGAACCTGGGTTTTGCGAGGTCAAAACATTGCTTGAACAAAGCCTTTTTACATGTAATGGCCTGGAGAATCATCCATGCCCTTCCACCTGGAATGTTGTGGAAACCACCAACGCGTAGCAAAAGCTCCAGGAGCTTTGAGTAGACAATGCCTCTTAACGGCAGTCCTGAGGGAGGATAAACCATGCACAGCACCTTCGATCCTTGCAGGCGCCGTTGACAAACGCCAATGGTGCAGAGCAGAAGGGATTTGGCTTGTGCTGCCATCTTGGCAAGAAACCATGCGCCTTAACAGACAATAAGGGTAGCAAGAGCGATGCTGCCGGGATACAGCATATGGGTAGTTCTCAAAAGTATGGGCCCCTTTTGCGTATAGACTATATTGCCACCTAATATTTAGGGATACCAAAAACGGACCCTAATTTTGGGAACTACCCATAAGTTTAGTCTGCAATACCCCTTGGGTTGAGGGTGCCGGATGTACGTTCAAATCATGTTGCCCTCCACGCTGTCCCCTTCAAATGGGGTCCTTTTTGGGGTTCCATATGAACTATATAGTCTAAACTCCTACTATCCCCCTTACTAACCCCTATAATACTCCCCTTTATAGTCCATTTATCCGCCCCTTAAGGAGTTTGGACTATAGCTCATATTTGTTCAGGCACGGTATCATAGCTCTCCGGTTGCTTGCAGGTGAGCGTCCAGTGGGCAAGGCCAGGAAGGAAAAGGGCCACGAAGGCAAACGAGTATCCGCCAATATAACCTCAAAGAGTGGCTTAGGGTCTAGGGTTTATTACAGGGTTTCTAGGGTTTAGGCTTTATAGGATTCATAGGGTTTACGGGGTTTATAGGGTCTATGAGGTTTTGGGTGATATATTGGGTGGGCAGGCGCTTTCTGTTCAAAACATTCCTAGGTCAGGCCACTGTATAGCTTGGTATTCGTCGCGTCGCTGCGTCACTAAATCTCAGACGATCCTGCTCTCACCCATCTATGATCTTCACCGAAGCCCAGAGTCATATATGGCCGGACGTTAAAGGTTTGATCTCGCCCAAAGGACACCCGAGGGCGGAGGGTTTTTTTTTGCAAAGGTGTGGTTCGGCATTTTTTTTTGCAAAGGCGTGGCTCGCGGATTGTCGGTCTTGGAACGCCTCAAATGCTGCAA